TCAAAATCAGCCAAAACCAAACTCATTTCTTCCTTGCGACAATTATCTACCAAATTTTAAAGATAAAATTTCCACAATAACCAAACATGTATATAATGAACGGAGTTTCATTCCAACATACTCATAATGATAATTTACATCGAAGTGAATTCTAAAAATCGAACCAATACATAACAAATCCTTTTAAATTTTTTTAATCATTAGGAGTCAAGTCATAGAGTTTCAACTATCTACAAATACATAAAAGATTTAAATTATAAAGATTAGAGGATTTTAACGTAACTGGTTATCCCATTGTCATATATAAATTCGATATCAATAATTTGTTTTGAAGATTCTAAGTATCGGGGAGGTTTAGATCTTGACAAAAACTTTTAGTTATAGAACAAATTTGTGACAACCCAGAGTACCGTAGGAGGGCGGGGAGTGATCGCCGGTGCAGAGGCACGGACAAGGGGCGGCTCCTGACGAGCTTCTGGGTAGGGGGGACAGGGATGAATCGAACACACCGGAATGAGAGAGATCCGAGGGCTGTATAGGTATGGGACTATACAGTCTAAGATAACATAAAAGAATTAGTTGAGTTACTCATAACAACAAGGTGCACCTACCTTTTTGGTTGACTATCACGAGAGAACTCCAAAGTTAAGCGTGCTGACTCTGGAGCAATCTCAGGATGGGTGACCTACTGGGAAGTGTCTCGGTATGCGTGCGAGTGAGGACAAAACACGTTGAAAGGTCTCGGGTTGCTGTGTGAGGGCAGTTTCGACAATTCGTAGCGGTCAGGCATAGTAACATCTTCGGGATCAGGCCCTATAGGTAACAAATCAACTTCCGTTGAATTATGTTCACGTGAGATTGTTTGCTACAAGTGTAGGTGTGACAACCCAGAGTACCGTATGAGGGCGGGGAGTGATCGCCGGTGCAGAGACACAGACAAGGGGCGGCTCCTGACGAGCTTCTGGGTAGGGGGTACAGGGATGAATCGAACACACCGGAATGAGAGAGATCCGAGGGCTGTATAGGTATGGGACTATACAGTCTAAGATAACATAAAAGAATTAGTTGAGCTACTCATAACAACAAGGTGCACCTACCTTTTTGGTTGACTATCTCGAGAGAACTCCAAAGTTAAGCGTGCTGGCTCTGGAGCAATCTCAGGATGGGTGACCTACTAGAAAGTGTCTCGGTATGCGTGCGAGTGAGGACAAAACACGTTGAAAGGTCTCGGGTTGCTGTGTGAGGGCAGTTTCGACAATTCGTAGCGGTCTCGGGTTGTTACAAAATTATTCATGAAAAATATTAGTAAACTTAATATAATACAGTCTTGGTATCGTCTTACATATTAATCTATTAAGTATGTAGTGATTTATCTATATTTTATTATCCAATAAAATTAAAAAAAAGTCACATAAGAAGATGAGGTCTCTTAACAACGATAAAAAAATAAAAAAATAAAAAAATTATTATTTGCACTATTTTGTTTTTTTAAAAGTTACAGAAGCCAAGAAATTTTCCAAATGTATAACTGAAATTCTGCAACATTTTAGTTTTATTAGTCTTTCTTTTCAATTTTATGGTCACATGATAAAATAACTTCTTTATACTAAATATAAAGAAATAAAATATAATTTTAATTTTAAAAAGTTTCTGCATTTATGATAAGAGGTAAATACATTTTTTTAACAGAAGAACTTAAAAAGATAGAATTATATGCATTAAAATTGATGACAGCTATTCACTTCCGTTTCATTTATCTCCAAGAGCGTCCTCCTGGTCTTTTTATATAAGAAAAAAAAGATCGGCTAAACCTACAAAGATGACATGTATCTCATCATTTTACCAAATATAAGGCTAGATAATAGGTATAACATATTGACCAAATAAAATAATGAAAAGTAAAACATCCATTTTATTTTGTCAAAAAAAATCCATTTTTATTAAAAAATTATTCTAACATTCTGTTACTCTCCTTCAATCTGGTATATCGCCCCTCTCTTTTTTTATTCCAAAATTTGCCACTGCAATTAAAAAAATCTCTGATCATAAATTACCAAAAAATATACTAATGATGAGAATTTTCGAGAACCAAATCAAAAGAAGAGGAAAAACACATCAAAGGTTTGGTTCCAACTCATCTAATCCCCGACCACAATTCACAAAAGAAGATAAGCCAACTTTTGGCTCAAAAGGTGCAGCAAAACCCGAAAGCAAACCTGAAACGTCTCAGCCAAGAAATTGTAAACGGTACGGTTTCGGGTGTCTTGTTGTTTTCAACCCCAACTTCTCTACCAATAACGTGCTTGCTACGTTTGTACAGCTCCCGCCATCAATGATGATACTACACACTTTATCTTTGACAACCCCCCTTGTGTAGAAAATGTTTAACATTTTTATAACCAATCAAAAGTTTAGAAACATCCATGTAGGATGATGAGGTAAATACATTTTTTTAACAGAAGAACTTAAAAAGATAGAATTATATGCATTAAAATTGATGACAGCTATTCACTTCCGTTTCATTTATCTCCAAGAGCGTCCTCTTGGTCTTTTTATACAAGAAAAAAAAGATCGGCTAAACCTACAAAGATGACATGTATCTCATCATTTTACCAAATATAAGGCTAGATAATAGGTATAACATATTGACCAAATAAAATAATGAAAAGTAAAACATCCATTTTATTTTGTCAAAAAAAATCCATTTTTATTAAAAAATTATTCTAACATTCTGTTACTCTCCTTCAATCTGGTATATCGCCCCTCTCTTTTTTTATTCCAAAATTTGCCACTGCAATTAAAAAAATCTCTGATCATAAATTACCAAAAAATATACTAATGATGAGAATTTTCTTAAATTTTGTGGTATACCTCAAATTCATTATCTAATAAAATGACGGAACCATAATCGAATCTATGCCGGATATAGTGCAAGATCAAAAGATAATGATCATTAGTGATAAAATTAATGATAATAGAATTTACCAAAAAAAGTAAATATGATCTAATAAAAATGAATGGAAACTAAAAGTTAGGACTTATTCCAATGTACATGTTGCTTGATTTAGAGTCCGGAAATAAGCGTGATGGTATTCCTGGTCACTTCCTCCAAGAAGTACAAGAAAAAAAAGATCGGCTAAACCTACAAAGATGACATGTATCTCATCATTTTACCAAATATAAGGCTAGATAATAGGTATAACATATTGACCAAATAAAATAATGAAAAGTAAAACATCCATTTTATTTTGTCAAAAAAAATCCATTTTTATTAAAAAATTATTCTAACATTCTGTTACTCTCCTTCAATCTGGTATATCGCCCCTCTCTTTTTTTATTCCAAAATTTGCCACTGCAATTAAAAAAATCTCTGATCATAAATTACCAAAAAATATACTAATGATGAGAATTTTCTTAAATTTTGTGGTATACCTCAAATTCATTATCTAATAAAATGACGGAACCATAATCGAATCTATGCCGGATATAGTGCAAGATCAAAAGATAATGATCATTAGTGATAAAATTAATGATAATAGAATTTACCAAAAAAAGTAAATATGATCTAATAAAAATGAATGGAAACTAAAAGTTAGGACTTATTCCAATGTACATGTTGCTTGATTTAGAGTCCGGAAATAAGCGTGATGGTATTCCTGGTCACTTCCTCCAAGAAGGTTTTTGGATGTTGTGTATATATTACCAGATTTATTCTTTAATCCGACTTGAATATCGTTTCTAATAAAATAGTGATATTATGA